CCCTCTCGGCCGTTGAGACTGTACAGTCTCACTCCCTTAGGGGAGGTCCCTCTTTATTCGGAGGGGGGACGCCGTCCCGCAGGGACCCTCCGAAGGAGGGACTTATGCGCTAAGTCACCCTCCTCGCACATGAGGATTACAAAAAAGTCGTTTTTTTTTCAAAGCTCTCTACAAGTCCTGTTCCGGGCCCCACACCGGGCAAGACACCCATCAAAATGAGGGGCTGACCTGGGAGTTTCTCACAGTGCCCTCGAAGATGTTGGGATGGGACTGACGGTCTGCCCAGCTGGCCTTTCATGGAAGCTCCCGATAATTGGTTTTTTTATGTTCAAGCTGTATGAGCCGCCACATCTGAGAAACAACGGCAGCTGCATAAAATACAGCCGGTCATATCATCTGCTGAGACATAATAACTGGGCCAAGCGAGGCTGTATCTGGCTGTATTTGTGGTTACAGCCTCCCTGTGTGGAAGATGTCAGACTTTCCGCCAGACCCTTACCGCATAATCTGGATGGCTCAAATCCGGGATGGCTGCTTTGAAGCGCAACCTTGGGGGACAAACAGTCGCTGATGAGATGGGCAGATGCGCAAGCGTCAGGCCATCACAACCATCCAACCCAGCGCGAAAAAAGTTCAAAAATGGGTGGGCTAGATGGGTTTTGAAACATTGCCCAGCCAAATGCCTAATCCTCATGGCCCGCGGGTGGCACATAGCCCGTAAGTCCCTCCGGCAAGCCATCGGATCAATTGCCCGGAGGGACTTAGTTAAGTTAGACAGTCTCAACAGCCGGGAGGAATCCCTCCCGGCCACCGAGACTGGTCCTGATGGCCAGGAGGGATTCCTCCTGGCCATCGAGACTGTACCCCTCCCGGCCGGGAGGGGTGCAGTCTTATTCTCCCTTCACCTCGTTAGGAAGGGCGGGTTTGTCTGCCCGCCCCTCGGAATCCGGTTTCCCTGGGAGGGGTGCAGTCTTATTCTCCCTTCACCTCGTTAGGAAGGGCGGGTTTGTCTGCCCGCCCCTCGGAATCCGGTTTTCCCTCGAAAAACAGGATTCCGAGGGGCGTGCAAGCAAACCCGCCCTCCCTGAGGGGCGGGTTCGATTGCACGCCCCTTTTGGAGGGGCGTGGGCGTGGGCGTGCGGGGAGGGGGGAGGCGTGCGTTTATCAACGCCCCTCCGGATGGGCTGGATTCAAATCCATCCAAGAACCAAGCTATCTCGGTTCTTGGCTGGCTTGCAAACCCACCCGCCCCTCCTGGAGGGGCGGGTGCTTCTGCACGCCCCTCGGAAGGCTGTTTCCTCGAAAAAACAGGATTCCGAGAGATTCCGAGGGGCGTGGGCGTGGGTGTGCGGGGAGGGGGAGGGAGTGCGTTTATCAATATCAACGCCCGTTCAGGAGGGGCAGCTGGGATTGAGATGGATGATCAGTGTTTGGATGTCTATCAAGGGCCGGAGAGTACAATCCAGTGTGATCTCGTGGGTGTTGATCCGGCAGGATTGTATTTTTTTTGATATGTAGACTTGCTCATCAAACATGGACGGCACATGGCGAGCGGAGTCTGAGGAAAACTTGCTTAGAAGTTAGCCGAGAAACTCTAATGACGGCTGATTTTTGGGAGTCAAGTTACGCTATGGACTGGGATTCTTGTGTGCCGTCCCCTGCTTTGAGTTACGAGACAAGAGCTAAATATAATCGGTGGAGAGGGCAAGATTAGCAACTGGGAAACGAGCGCTGGCCGAGTGATATGGATTGCCGGTGGGCCCGTTCCGACCCGTGCAGCCAGCCGCCCGGCCGGCCTTCACATACAGAGGAGATCACCGACCCAAACTATGTAGGATCATCACAGCTTGCGCTCGCCGACCAAGGCTTGTTTTCCTCTGGCCAGCTTGAGAACCTCCGACTCAGGATGCTCACACTCTCCAACATCCTTGCAGGCTTTCAAGCACAGCCATTTCCAGCCCAGCTGTCTTGAATTCTTGCAGCACATTGAAACTGTTTTTTTTGATATTACGAATTGACAGTCGACCGGAAACTTGAAAGAGAGAATCCATTGCCCTTTGATTTTCATTTCCCTCCTGCATCCTCCACTGCCACAGTAGGCCACACTGCCGCTTCCAGTCAGTCCGGATCCAGTGAAGCAGTGCATCATCATCCTCATCCTCATCAAACGCTGGGAAGTCCAGTTCTACGAACTCGGATATCCCTTCGATACAGCCTACCCAAAAAAAAAGGAAGTGGTGTGATCTTCAGGGGGGAGGGAGGACGGAAACAGGCGATCTTCTCCCGGATCACCCATCCCCTGCAACATTCCCTCTGCCCTGACTACAAGCTCAGCACCCCCATGGAACATCTCCTACTCTGACTTTCGCTGTCTTTTGCGCTTATATTGGGATCCACCCACCCTTTACACTCAATCTGTGGCTTGCACACACGCTTTAAAACATCCTCCTCCCCGTGCCAATCCTGCAAGTGTCCCGTCAGCTAAGAAGGCCGAGAAGAAAGAAAGAATCAAACAAAACACATTCCCGCCATCCTGATCCCGCTGAATAATACCCTCGTCAGTCCGTACCACCCTATTGAACTGTTTGAGCATCAGCCCGAGTGAGTGGGCTTCATAACCAACTCCTTCGACATCCTCCCCATTCCTCGCACTGAATGTTCGGTGCTTGTCTTATCTGACTTAACACACGCCAAACACTTATCTACTTTTTTTTTTTTATGTACATAACAATCTTGCCAGCTTGAGGAATTTTTTTTTTACAAACACATCTCGGAATCTGGGAAAAAAAACAACAACTTGAACTGATCCATAAAAAATAGTACCCCTCGGCCTCCGCCGACTTTCCTTAGCCCGTTCACCCTCGTCCTCCATCGTCCACTTGCCGCCATCCTCCAAAAAATCCACAAAGGTTGAACCCAATTGAGTCGCGTGATGGCCAGAGAACGAATCATATCGCTCCGGGTGAGTATTTGTCTTCACTGATGAAGCCACTCAATATTCGATCAAGTGTGCTCAAAGTGGATGACTGAGGCTGATTAATATGTTATTAAAAGCATTTATCGCAGGAGTACCATGGCATCACACCGGACGGATCGCCGGCCCAAGACGACCCCCGAAGAGAGAGCCGACTGCAAGCTGCGTCGAGGGGTGAGGAGGAGGGGAACACAATAGATGAAGAGGCCGAGAGGCTACTGAGTCCCGATCCCAGACGGTCCGGGTCGAGGCCGCCGAAGCTAGTCGTCGAGGACTATTCCTTGCCGCCCACTGATCATCGTCGCCGGCCCGGCATGACTGGAGGAGAAAGAGAAGAGAAGAAGAGCCGACACTCTCCACTCATCAAGTCATCTGGTGGCCCCGACATTCATGAACACCCATCCATCGTCACTCAGCATGAGGTTGATGAGGACGAGGACGACCGCAGAACCCTGGCGACTGCCGATGATCAGTACGACCATCCGCTCCTCAAGCATGTCTGGGCCGATCCCGACGGGCCCATCGTTTCCGCCGCCGGCCAACCGGATATCGACGCCGAGAAGGCTGCCCGGTTCCCGCTCGAAGCGGGGGACATGGGCCACTTCATGAACCAAGTTGAGCACTCCCCTTCTTTTGCCATTTAACTATCCCTAGTCCCACTTCACTCTTATGTACTTACCAAAATCAAAAACAGGCCTCTAAAATATCCACAAGGATCGACGGATTGGAGGCCCAGCTGCTCGAAAACTCGCCCAGCTTCTCCAACGATCCGGCCTTCCGAACGGCCCTATACACCCAAATCGACCACCACGTCGTCCAACAAATCCTGCTCCTCCAGGCCACCCATCGTCTAGATTCCAGTCCTTCATTCTCTCCTGACATTGGTGATGATAATGATCATCATCATCATGATTGGAAGACGGTTGAGAAGAGGAGGTTGACGCCTAGTACCCTCGAAATCGAACATGCTCTTAAAGTCGAACAGATCGTCGCATTGAAGACTAAGGCCAAATCGCTAGTCTCGGGGTAAGATCGTACCCTCAATTAAGCATCCAAAACCAACCTGAATATAAAGACAACGAAGATTGATTGAATTTTTATTTTTTTATATCTTCCTTTCTATTCGCACAAACCACCACCACCACAACAACAACTGAACGACGACGACGATGACGACGAAAATGAAGGATGATCGGACGACTGAAGGATGAGAAGCAGATCACGACGAACCAGATCGAGTACGAATGGAACAAGGAGCTCAGCCAAGGCTCGGCGAGCTCGCGACACTCCCGAAGCGTCTCGACCATCGTCGTCCCCGACGCTCGCAATCCCTCCATCGACTCTTCGCCCGTCTCGCCTGACCTCCAACTGTTCGAGAAACTCCAGCAGATCGACCATCTTCCTCGCGCCTCTAAATCCTACTCTGAGGAAGTCCAAAAAATCTTGAATCTTGCGGTCCGTTTCTAAATCCCTCCTTCCATCCATCTTACGTTCTTTTTTTACTCTTTTCAAAAAAAACAAATCCTCAAGGCTTTTTCTTTTCTTTTTTGGGATTTGATTGTGTAGGTACGATCCTCGACATCGTATCCCGAAGCGCGAAAGTCGAGTCTATTCATCAGATCGAAGGTCGATTCGGTCCTCCAAATCCACGCCGAAGTCGACCAACTGAACCGCTACCTCGTCCAAGTAAGCTCGTCTGTCCTATTCACAGACGTGGACATTGTAATTGACGAGTCTATTTCCCCAGTTGTCCTCTGATTGTTCACGCCAGTATGGACATGAAGGCACGAGTTCTGAAGAAGACGAAGAAGATGATGACTTGTCGAGCATAAGCATCAGTCTAGACGGGCTTGAGGACGAGTAAGCTCTGCCCTCGTCGCGTTGTCCCGTCTCTCAAAACTTCTCTCACCCACTTCTCTCTCTCTCTCTCGCAGAGACAAAGGCCGTCTCGAGCCGCAGATATCCGGCCGGAAGACCAACAAGATCCGATTCATGCTCGGCGACCGGCCCAAAAAAAACCCGCAAAGTCGCTCCAGCTTTGTCGAAGATCTCGAAAACAATCGGGTCGGCAATAAGGAGCCCCAGTGTCATCGGCTTTCGTATGGCTCAAACAGCTCCTATCCCATCTCTTTCCATGACAATCGGTCTTGGCTGGTTAGATATCGTCTCACCGTCTGTTGTGCGTCTCTTATGTATACTCTGCAATCGCTTTGTTCACTCGGCCCACGAAACAAGGCCTCCATTCTCACTGATCCCGAATCTCTCTCTTCCCTGGCTTTTGCCCGTTTTCCTAAACATTTGAATCCTAGGCTCCATTTTGGCCTTTGGTGCGTTTCTTACATCTCTTTCTCTTATAAATTCGTGACTGGTTCATTTCGCGGACAGAGATATTCGATGCTGACTGGACTAACCTCCCTCTCATCTCGACACTCTTCTTCCTTATATATACATATATGCGATTGATCCAGTCCTTCTGATCTCCATGGCCTGTCTCATCTACTTCAACCTCAAATCTCACAACGACTAATCTTGCCCTCTCTCTCTCTTTCTCATCTACTTCCCTTCGACGAACTTCACACGAAAAACCTTCTGGTGGTTGTAAGAAGATTTCTCTCTTTGGCTGTCCTTTTTCCTCTTTTTTTCCCGCTTCTCTTTTTTTTGGTCCCTCTTGATTTCTTCTCTAGAGTTCATCAAACAGACAATCTCAAGTATCATCGTTCCTCTTTTTCTTTTTCTTCTGCTTCGTTTTTTTCTTTTCTTTTTTTTTTTTTGGGACAAAACTTGCATCAAAAAAGGGATTCTTCATATTTTGTTTATTTCTTTCGTATCTCACATAAACAAACCTATCTTTATCTGTGTTATAATATTGATCTGAGCTTCACCATATATCCAAAGTCTATCATCCACGTCAATCCATTTCTTGGTAGCTGATTATTTGTAACAACAATGCTTTGAAAATCTTATCTCAATTGTCAGAAAAAGAGTCATGGATCATGTTTGTATGTGTAGACTTTCATAGAGTCTTCAATTTGAGCATTCTTCATAAAAATAACCTGTTTTAAGATGGTTCAAGATCATAGTCTTTAGGAAAATAATGTGGAAAGAGGGATCTATAATGATCACATTCCAACAAAAAATCACTTTCCTCAAAACCTGTTGACGTTCCAGACCTGAATACGATCCCCTTACTCTACACATTTCCTAAAAGTGCGTTCAAAAAATGGATTCCGAGCTTCCAGGACATTGTAGAGAGCCACCACCGCGCCGAGACAGTTTGTGATAAATTAAGAGAGGCCGTTCTCAAGCAAGGAAGACGAAAAGCATGAGGATATCTATAGATGGATGAGGAGTGATTCAGTTTAGAGAGGCCAATCGATCTTCGAAGGATTTGATGATCAGAGTGCTGAATTTCTTCCAGATCGCTTGATCGGTCAACAGGTATTCGTGGATCGGATTCTTGAATTTGAACGAAAGATCTAGGCCGACTTGGGTGACTGGCTTCGAATTGCTTGTCGTTGTTGATGATGTTGATGAACAGGGAGGATCAGAGAGTGTCCAGGTGGTGGTTAGGTTGGTGAAGGTCGATGAAGGCTTTGCTATGACCTTGAAGGGTTTTGATTCTCGTCAATAATCCGGTTTTCTCTCTCGTGTGAACAGAGAGAAGACATACTCTGACTGATTCGAATGGTTCACAGATCACCTGACTGTGATAGTCAGTTTCGAAGCCCTTATAACCGATCCGAGTGAAGACTTCAAACTGATGGTTGATGAGATTACTACGAGTTGATTGCGAATCTTGCTCCTTATGGTTCTCCTTCTTCTGATCCAGTTGAGTGACCGGTTCGATGATCCTTGTCGAGAGACAGTAAGGAATGAACTCAGGATACGATTGGACGTCGACGATGACCGAATAGATCTTCGATCGCTCGTATCTAAGAAAAACAAAAGCAGAGAACTATTAGTAGGAATGGGAGATGCTCAGGATGAGGAGGATGAACATACGGACGGTAGGTTTTTGAGCAGTTGGTGCGAGCCCGTTCGGATAGTACTGGTCGAGAACTTCCTGGGACTGTTGTTGGCAATCTGGGATGATAGCTTGAGAGCTCGAGAGTGGAACATGACTGAGTTTACGTTCAAGCAAGGAGTCCTTTGATCTCCTACTAAAGTAAAACTAAAAGGATGTAGGAATGGCTTGGGCGTGTGATAGGCCTGTGACAGGGCTGGCAGAGTATTTAGCTGAGACCGACTCACAGTCAGCCAGTTCATCTATCAGCAACAACTTCATATCGAGCTTGGTGAGTCAAGAGGACTATCTCCTTATCAGAACAAGAAAGCAGCTTATCATCTCTCCTCTCCGATAAAACGACTGCCTTCAGGTTTCATCAGGAACGCCACACGCTGGTTGGAATGTTGAGCCGAATTCGACCATCATCGATCCTGAGTCGGACATCATTCAAGCCGACCCAC